AGAGCATGTTATAGACATTCGAAGCATTGATCGGGATGTAGTCTAAATTAGATCTTGTGCCAACTTTTTTTGTGCACGTATCAGTATCTAAATTGTTATTTCATGCACTGACATCATGGTAGAGTTGAGAGTTCATTTCCTTTATTAAATTCCTCTTCCTTTAACAAGAATTAATTGTTTCTACTAGATTGTGGTTTGGGTAATACTCATTTTTATGCAAAAGAGAACAAAGAAGTATCCCGATTGCTTTGGAGGGAGACCAGGATTCGTTTTGTAAGTCAATAATAAAGACTGATCACTCTAAATTCTTCCTCATAGTCCGATAAACTTCCTTAACCCTCGGCACAAGTTCGTCTATGTGATGGCTTGTGGTGCTCTTGCCTCAACGTGGTTTCAGATTACTTTGAATGAATACAGCATTGACTTTAATGTGAACAAATGGGGAGCCAGCTTTGTTAGCAGTTAGTTCAATGATGCAAAAAAATCACTAGCTGTTTTGCCTTATAGTTTTCTTTATCATGTATTTGCTTCTTGTTAATATTATCGTGACATTTCCACTCCTGGCCTGTGTTGAAGCACCTGTCCCTATTGTTGGATATACTCTAGGGGCCATATACAGTGATGTGTAGTAAGTTTACTAAATTAGCTGATTGATGAAAACAATCTTAGGATTCAGATGGTGGTAAAAAAAAAGTTCATTTTATTTGTAATATGTTTTTAGTTTGGGAATTGGAGTGTATAACCTTGTGATGAACCTACGTCAAGCAGATGCAGATGATATTGGAACTCCAAAAGTCTACTCTAATTTACTGGTTAGTTTAGTTTAAGAATAACTATTTTAATCCCTTTTAATGTTTTAGTATAGTCAATACGTGATTGCATATGCTCCTGAAATCTTTTGCATTATTGGTATTGTGCTATGGTATCATTACAAAATCATTAGAGAGACTGTGAGAATTTGTAGAGCTGATGGCAACTGGAAGGAAGTTGTGAGTCAAAGAGAGAGAGAGAGAAATGGATGATTAAATGTAATGTACTAGGTCGTTCAACAACCTCAATCTCAGTCTCAGATCAAGTATGTCAAACGATTACTATATGAGAGGTATGGTAATGATGCTTGGTATTTTAAGTATGTGATATGTTGTTTTAGGAATCCAACTTTCTTTAAGAAACACATTAATACAAGTAAAGTTATACTGTTATTATTATCATTGGTTATTATTATTATTATTATTATTATTATTATTGTTATTAATTATTTAGGGGTGAAGCTTCCATTCTCATTATTGATAGTATGTATTGTTGATGCTGTCATTATCTTTCAGGTATGCTTGTAACAAAAAAGCAAGTCTGATTGCTTTCTTCTGTTTTTCTAGCTTGTTACATTCACTGTTTTTCTAATACCATATCTGTTTGACTATTTAAAAGGAGAAGTAAAATCATGGAATGATGAGATTCTATTTTTGAATGACAATCAAATAAAGATCGCTAATAGGGTCTTTGACAGTTTGACTTCTATATCAGTTCTTTCACCAATTTTAGCTGTTGTCATTTTGGTGGGGCATTTCATTCATGTTATATACTCAGTCCAGTATGTATTTTCACTAAAATAATTATTAAAAAAAATATTTTCCTCATAATGTGTAGAGTTGAATTGAAAGAATTTAGAACTGGAGGGAAAAAACTCTTCAAAAAGATAAAGTTTCCATCAATTACTTTGGTAAGACTTACATTGTACGAAAATATTCCATTTATGAGCTTTTCATTCCCTAGTCTTCTTCTGTAAGGTATGCTGGATATCAAATTGCTGCAGTAATAACAGGTATCCGTAACTTGATCTTTATCAAATCAATATTTGCCTTATATAGCTTGGTTTGTCTATTATTTCGTCATCTTTGTGTTACTTTCTCTCGTGGCTGCATTGATAATATTCCCTTCACAGCTGGGATACTACTACTACAAATTTTTGTACGCATAATAATCAATTTTTATGTCCACTGGTATCTACTGATATCACTTTCTAACCTGTATAATTATAGTGTCCTTGTTGCTTGGTTTGTGATTTTAACAGTCTCCCAGATTATCATTTGCAAGTTATTATTTGTAGCTAAAGAAAGCAGTTCAATGAAGACATTGATCATTACCAACAAGTCAGCTATATACTATATAACCTAACTATTAGTAGATGCATGAACACTTTGTTGTTGTTTTAGGAGAATGTTTTGCTTCTTTTCTTATGTTATGCTTTTGTATAACATTGCCACTGGACTTATGACTGCTATTTTGCGTGTCACTCTCTCTTTCTTGTCTATGGTTATCCTGCTGCCGCGAATGGACCGCCTCCTGTTTTTAAAAGGTTTTGAAAGATTTGATTCAGGTCTGTATTTTACAAAGCTATATGCTTTGTCTGTTTTATTATATTTACATTATCTAGGCTTTAATATGTATAAAAGTTTTGTCCTGGTCGAGAATTTGCTCAAAAACCCAGTCCTTCAAGTCTTTGTTATGCTCCTGCAATCAAACAAAAAGCTGAGCTCTGAGAACCATGATTTCTCTATGAAGATGATGAGCGAAGGTTTGTTAATGTGCCTTTTTTACATCAACATTTCAGATAATATTTATTCCAACATTAGGAGACAATGATTATATTTTGCCATCAGCTGCTGCCAGGGTTTCTACTCGAGCCAGAAACCGCTGGTTTGTTGCTTACACGCTCATTAAGAACCCAAAGCTAAGGAAGACCTGGGCAGGAGGTTATACTGATAAATGTGATGATGATATTACTCAAAAAGTAGATGTTGTAGAGTATGATGGAGTTTCCTTGCTACCTGAGGCTATGATTGATTTACCTGATGAGAAAAAGCTCCTGTCACCTTATTCAGCTTCAGAATGTTAACAAATGTAAAGTCAAATTGACTTCTTAGTCTGACTGCATATCTATTATCTATTCTAATTTGGTTTCATTTTCCCCATTTTATTTTTATAATAATTACTCACATTGTGCAAATCATGTTGTAAAAATTACACAGCAAAAAAGGAACACAAATCAACAATAATTAACAATTATACTACAAAATGACAACAATATCCACATAATCAACAAAAACAACAACAAATGAAACTACTTGCCTCTCAGAAGTACAAATTGGAATAATAATAACAACAATAATAATTATTAATTATAATTAATGACGGGGTGCTGTAGTGCTTTCTAATAATTGGTTTTTGTCCTTTTAATTACTTCTCATTTGTTGGTGAATCTGGTTTTTCTAAATAATGGGACGGATTCAGGTGATGATCAACGCTACAAATTGAACAAGAAAAAAGAACATAAAAATATGGCGTAAGACTCATCAAGATAGGTCTAACCTTCTCACAGCCTCTGGTATGAGCATTGCATCTAATTTAACTTGTTCGTTGAGCTCCTTCAGACTATTGATGTGAGAGACTTTTCTGTAAAACTTGCGACTAAACGAATAAATTTTAAATAAAATAAATTAAATCGTACAAATAAATTGAAAAAATAGTTTATTTTCTGTTCTTGTTCACACCTTTTTTTACACCTTTGAGGTGTTAAAAGGAACAGGAAGTAAAGAATTAATTAAAATGATTTACTAAAAATTCAAAAAAATAAATTAAAATGATACAAATAAATTTTAAAATAATTTATTTCCTGTTCTTTTTCACACCTTTTTTCACACCTTTTTTCACACTTTATATGCACCAGGCAATAAAAAAATCCAAGTTAAAAGAATTTTGTCTTATTTCCCACCCCAAAATCTCCAGAATATGTCTTTGTATAATTAAATAAATTACCTGATGAAAGGTCTTAAAAGCCGAAGCATTGTCTTGACCCAAAACGATGGATGAACAATAAACAAGTTTTTCAAATTTTTACGCAACCTAAAAACATAACACAAATGATAACATTGAATTTGACAACAAGTCACTGAGCAAAATATTTACATTGAAACTTGTGCTTTTACCTTCTATCAATCATTCTATAGAAGCGATGGAACCACTGAATGCCAGGCATGCTGTTCCTAGGGGCTCCACTGTGCAGATAGACTATCACATAATCATCAACAACAAGCTTTTCAACCACTGAGAGAACATAACTACATGCAGTAAAAAACACAAACATTAATTGATTTTATTTCCTCCCCTTTTTGCTCTTACAAGAAAAGCTGTGAAATAACTTGAGGATAATTCCGTAGACTTTTTGGTGGTAGATAAAACGAGCTGATGACAACAATGGCTGTCTGATCATTCCCAAGATAGCCTGTAGTAGGAATAAATAATATATTTCATTAGGACAAGACACTCCTACACTAAACACTACTCAAATGTCATGTAGTGAGTGCATATACATGTTTCAATAAAAACATGACATTTATTATTTTTGAGCAACTTTAAAAATTCATAAAAAATTCAAACTTGATTGGAATGAGCTCAAACTTTCTACGCAACATAAGTACATGTATATGTATCAGAAAACATTATAAAAATGGAGAATTCTCTACTTTTCATTTTTGACAAAATTTGACAAAAATCCCTGTACTATAGTACAGGGACTTTGGCCCGATTTTTAAGCAACTTGAAAAATTCGTAAAAAATCTAAACTTGATTGGAATGAGCTCAAACTTTCTACGCAACATAAGTACATGTATATGTATCAGAAAACATTATAAAAATGGAGAATTCTCTACTTTTCATTTTTGACAAAATTTGACAAAAATCCCTGTACTATAGTACAGGGACTTTGGCCCGATTTTTAAGCAACTTGAAAAATTCGTAAAAAATCTAAACTTGATTGGAATGAGCTCAAACTTTCTACGCAACATAAGTACATGTATATGTATCAGAAAACATTATAAAAATGGAGAATTCTCTACTTTTCATTTTTGACAAAATTTGACAAAAATCCCTGTACTATAGTACAGGGACTTTGTTCCATTTTGGAGCAACTTTAAAAATTCGTAAAAAATCCAAACTTGATTGGAATGAGCTCAAACTTTCTACACAACATAAGTACATGTATATGTATCAGAAAACATTATAAAAATGGAGAATCTTTTACTTTTAAATTTTGGCACTATTATACGTACATATCACAATTCCCTTCATCTCTCTTACTGTACATACCTCCATGTTGTACAATAGGGCGATACAGCTCAATCAGTTTAAGACTTATCCGTCTCTCCTCTCCTCCTATCATGACTAGTCTAAAGTCCCTTGTGTCCTTACTCTCCTCCTCTGGCGTGTACTCAGGAATAGCAGGAGGCGGTACATCAGACTAACAAATAATAATAAAATAATAAAAAAGAAATTACATAATTACTTCTTGTGGGAGGATAGCAGCTGGAGACGACACAATGACCTGAGGTTCAAGAGGATGTGGATGAGGATCATCGATTGAACTAATGCTACGATCCGCTAGATTAGAAAGAGACGCATTTGGTGAGGGAGTCTTGTTTCTTTCTTCGTCGCTGTCTTGAGCCAGTGCAAAGGAATCCATGCTCTCTCCTAGTCGTGCACTGATACTTTCTAACTGTAGCAGACTGCCTTGTTGACTGGCTGTCAGCTAGAGACACAATAATAATAATAATAATAATAATAATAATAATAATAATAATAATAATAATCAGTTTTTCTTACGTGTGGTTCTAACTGTCCCTCCTCTTCACCGGTCGTTTCCCGTTCCCCTTTCTCCTCTCTCCCCTTCTCTCTTTCCTTCTCATCCTCTTTCACGGACGCAGGGAGTGGAAGAGGTGGAGGGTCTTCGAGATATATAGTCTCAGATCTTGGGAAACCCCTCAACCTATGAGTCTTAACTTCGCTAAAATAAGTTTTCAAGATAAATTAATTAAAAGCCATACAATCAAAGCACTACATTATCATTAATTATATTCTATTGCCTTACTCTGGAGGTGAGTCGGTCAGACAGGACATGATGAGAGGTAGGATCTGTTTACGCGAGAATGAGGTGTTCCCTTGTTCCATTATGATACCGTCAAAGAGACCCTCTCCGATCCTCTCCACCTGCAACTGATGGTCGGCCTCAAGACTGGCCGCTATAGAGTCTACGAGATCTGCCGGAACACTCGCTGGAGGGAGCCCAGGACGCTGATAGAGTGCTATTTGTCTCCGAAGTGGTTTCAGCTGTATGCTCAATAGAACTAGTATGTGGAGCTCTTGCTGTGATGAAAATAGCTCCAAATCGCTCGTGGCGTTCATTTTTGTTGCCAGAAAGTCCGTCACTAATAGTGTCATTGACGAGAAACCAACGATGAAGTTACCAGCTTCGGACTTTTTAAAATCCTTTCTGAGTATCTGAAGAGCTGTCAAGTCGCTTACATCTTCACGAGCTGTCAGTACCTAAAATAAATACATGTAAATAAATAAATAAATAAATAAATAAATAAATAATAGTAATAACGATCTACTATTATTGTCTTGTGCAATTACTATCTCACGCACATAAAAGACACAACAGTGACAATACAGCAGTCCCTTGATAAGTAACAAAGTGTTACCTGTTCTCTTATTGTGCTTATATACACAAACACAACTGTACAGTGTAGTATAGTATTATTATTATTATTATTATTATACACATGAATGATTACATGTGTGTGTGTGCATTTTCAGCATAACCAAGCCTAATTAAATGTAGTCAGGGTACATGAAGGTAACAAGATAACCTTACAAGAATTGGCAACAACAAGTACATTATACACATACACACTTTTATACTACAGGCTTATTATACATTGAAAAGTAACGACTTGTTTTGTAATAAATTGAAAGCAATCAGTGAGGAGAGTTGCTGCTCATTTCCTCCTTCAATATGATAAGAATTTATTACTTTATTATGAATTATTCTTATCATTTATTAAAGTACTTTACAACTTCCTATGACCTCTTAATTGTCTAATTATATTATAAGAGTAACATAATAATAATAATAATAATAATAATAATAACTATAATTAAATTAACTTACATTGTAGTATAATTGATCACTTGATAAGCTAACGAAAGATCCTAATTTCCCCGCAATCTCAACATCCTTCTCCGTCACTCTGGTCTCTATCTTCAAATTACCCGTATCTATCAAAATGGCTGACAGCAAAAATGTTGCCACATCGTTTGGCATTTCGTAATCCTCAGAGCTTAAAAGTTTCTCAGCTACCAGCGTAGAGCAAGAACCGACCGGCTCTATGACACGATAACATTCAAAGGTGAGGGCATCGTCATGATGATCGATTATCTCATCAACATAAGGTCTTATGCTCTCGTCCGGTACATTGTGATCAACAAGAGTCACCCGAGGGTGTGGCAAATCAGAGAGGGAGACCTCGGGGAGGAACAAGAAATAAGACGAGTCAATTTTAAGATGATTCAGTAGCCAGACAATGTCCTGACGTAATGAGAGGTCCTCCCTGAGACAGTTTAGAAGAGGGAGGGAGAAGAAAGAGGAACTAATAGTTGACCAGTAAAAATGAGCGAGAGACAGAGAGCAGGCAACAGAATCAAGATCACAGGACTCATTGCCAACCACTAGGCGAGTGGCAAGAATGCCTTCATCCTGTAAAAGAGAATAATATGTAATTGTTAGAGCATGAGTGACTGTTTTGGTTGAGTTATAAATATAAGAGTAAGTTATTTGCTATAAAGGAGATGTTAACTGCTAAAGGCCGCAACTCACCAATTCCTTAATGTGCTCGCTTGCATGCTTTACAAATTCAGAGAGAGCTGACATTATCTGTAATAAAGAGAGAGGGGGAGAGTGGGGAAGAGAGAGAGAGGAAGAGGAAAAAGAAGCCCCACCCTTAACAGCTCGCCCACGCAACCACACCTACTAACTATGGAGTTTGCTGACGACTCGTGTGATGGATTATGGCTTAGTTCAAGAAACAGAAGAAGAGGAGGGCAGGGAAGCAAAGAGAAGACCAAAACTAAGCCTACATACTTTATAGACACGTCTTCTGATACTGCACTGCTGAAAAGTGGGGCTGGAGGTGAAAGCAATGAGAAAGAAGAGGTTAGAATTAGTGACAACAATGATGAAGAAGCAATGGAGTTAGAGCTAGAGCAAGTTTGGAGCCAGCCTCCGTTTGATCCAAAGAGTTTAATAGGAAAACCTTTTATCATACCAGACAGGAGAGAGAGAGGGAGAGGGGAAGAAGGAACTTTAAAAGAAGAAACAAGAAGTACTGGCAGCAAGAGAGGATTACTAATGGTTGATAAGACACTAATGAAATCTTTACTGGTTTCAACTTCAGCTGAGGAGGATCAACATGAAGAGGTTTTCGATATGCATAAGGAAGCATGGCCCAGTATGTCACAGAGTGATGCAACGAAGAATGGAGAGACAGTGGATAGCAGTACTAATAAAAGTTTACCTGATTGGAGTACTATTGTGAAAACTGATCCAAAGGTAAACATGTGTAAATATCCTATGAGTCTGTATAGTTACTCCTCTCTCAGCCTTTACCACAGAAAGAAGTGGTAATTCCTAGTGACAACATGGACATTGATCCGGAGGAGAAGAAGAAAAAGAAAAAGAAGAAAAAAGAAAAGAAACTAGAAGAGCCTATGACACTCGAACTGGGAAGCATACTTGATGCTTTACAAGTATTTAACAGCAACTAGAATTAGTTTTTCAAATGTTCCCTATAGAAATCAAAAGCTAAAGCAGATGCAAGACCAGTAAAGAAAATCACAGCTGGTACTGTTGCCCTTCCTCCTCCTCCTCTCTCTCTCCCTTCTTCTTCCACTGCCCCAGTCAATGATGCATCCATGACAGCTGCTAAGCTAAGCGGGACAAAGAATGTCCTGGACTCCTCTGCTCCTAGTGTGATGAGAGGAAAGGAGAGAGAGACTCCAAAGAAACGGAAGCCTTCATCTCTTAGAAAAGTAATAATAATAGCAGTCTGTCATATTATGTTTTAAAATGTTTAAATGCTCCTTATGTTGAGGTGGAAAATTTTCATTCATTGATCCAGACATGGTGCTAATTCTTGTTAATTGTAGCAATTTGCAAACTTAACATGTGCAATACAAAAATAATAATGTATCCTTTTCTCTGCTTCTATAAGATCATTGATAAAGAGAGAGAAGAGCGAAAGAAGCAAGCTGGAGAGGGCCAACCCATACCTACAATGTAATAACCAAATCCATATCTTAATTATTATTGTTAATTTAACTCTTTGGATAGTGTTGACATGCAAACTGTTCCGCAGAATACAAGTACACCAGGTCTTCACAACAGAAACTATAGAGAGTGAGAAAAGAAAACAAATCGTTAACATCTAACGTAGTCATTTTCTCCTCAAGATATTGCACACATTTAGTGACTGACAAGATTAATGGACTTGTGGAATCTCTCCTGAATGACCTGAGCAGGTTCCAGGAGAGGATTTACAAGAATGAGCCTCTTAAGTTTAAGAGCAAGCGTCGGTTTGTTTGCGGGCTGCGTGAAGTCAAGAAGCACCTGTTGCTGAAACATTTAAAATGCGTCATAGTTCCACCCAACCTACAAAGAATACAATCACCAGGTATTAAGCAATAGTCAGATAATATAAAGCAATAATATTATACATATGAAGAGTGTATTGATTAGAAAATTGTTATTTCACTCCTTTACTAGGCGGTATTGATGATACACTGAGCAGTATTATAGAATCAGCCAAAGAGCAAGAGGTACCACTGGTGTTTGCACTCAACAGGAGAAGACTGGCTTTTATTTTGAAAAAGAAATTCAATATTGGCTGCATTGGGATTATAAGTTGTGCAGGGGCCGAGGTAAATTAAGAATGACTGTCCATTGCATTTTTTCATCATTATTATTATTAAATTTCTAATTAGGAAACATACAAGAAGCTTATGGATCAAATTCGCATCAGTACTGAGCAATATCAGCAAAAAAGGCGCAAAATTGAAAAAGAGCTGGCATCAGGAGCTCCTGCCACATATCAACCACAGCACAATAAAGATGGAGTGACTATAGGTCAACCTGTTACCATTAATAACTATGAAGACTTGTTTGAGATGCAGACAGTGGAGGAGGAAGAAGAGGAAAGAGAGAAAGAGGAGGAGGAGGATGAAGGAGATGATTCTGTGGTTCCTGTTAGTCAGTGGAATCAACTTTTTGGTGAAGTCGATAAAGATGAATCTATTGGTGTTCCTTCTAAACCAGCTCCTTCGTCATTCTCTTGGAATTTAGAGGCACCAGAATTTCTACCATTCAACATACCAAATTCAAACTGAATGTTTTTAATTTTGATGATACGCATATCTGTAAATAATTTTGTTCATAGATTTGTTGATACTCATACCAATTCTTTAATACTTGCTAAATAAAATCCAGCAATACTGAGGAGCTTTTTTTCTGCCCCAACCCTTTAAAAGTTACTGATTAATTTTTGCTTAAAAGTTATCATAACTGCTACTTATAATCAGCAATACACTATACTGTACCACTAGACAATGTTGAATGGCTACTGTTTTTTTAAAGCAGCAAAGTCTAAGACTTGAGTGGATTCCTGAACTTAGTTCCTGCAAAGACAGCCTTGTCTCCTAGCTCCTCTTCAATGCGTAGGATCTGGTTATACTTTGCCAGTCTCTCAGAGCGACAAGGAGCACCGGTCTTGATCTGTCCAGTGCACAAACCAACGACCAGATCAGCAATAAAAGTATCCTCAGTCTCTCCGCTCCTGTGACTCACCATCACACCCCAGCCGTTACGCTGGGCCATGTTGCATGCTTCAATGCTCTCAGTGACGGAGCCAATCTGGTTCACTTTGAGCAGCAGCGCGTTGCAGGCCTTGCGCTCAATGGCGGTGGAGATACGCTTTGGATTAGTAACAAGGAGATCATCACCAACAATCTAAAGAGAAATAATGAAAAGTCAAAATAAAAGCAATAATTTATAATTATTTTACTTGTATATCGGTCTCGGCGGTAAATGAAGTCCATCCTTCCCAGTCATCTTGATCAAAACCATCCTCAATGGAGACTATTGGATAGTCTGAAATGAAGCTTTTATACAGATCCTTCAATTGTGAAGCTACAGAAAAAAAGAGTCAAATCATAATAAATAGCTGAATTTCGTATGCATACCAGTTAGCCATTTGCTTGGATCACTGTTAGGGTTCTTAAAGTCAAGGTCATATTTTCCTTCTTTGCAGAACTCACTGGCGGCAGTATCCATTCCAATCTTAACCTTGTCAGTGTACCCAGCATTTGCTATTGCAACTTTTAGAAGTTCCAAACCCTCTCTATTATCCTGTTAAGGGAGAGAGTATAAAAATAATACACTTACAGTATATCAAATCTCCTTTTTATGAAGTTATTAATACCTGTATGTTAGGTGCAAAACCTCCTTCATCTCCAACGTTAGTAGCATCTTGTCCATACCTCTTCTTAATGACAGCTTTCAGATTATGATAAACCTCAGCACCAATCCTCATAGCTTCACTAAAACTGCTGGCACCTAAACCAATTTGAATGTTAATAAGAGATTCATGTGCAACATACAACATCAAAACATGTACATGTGTATCATAAAATTATGAAAATGGAGAATTCTCTACTTTTCAAATCCCTGTACTATAGTACAGGGACTTTGTCCCAATTTTGGAGCAACTTTAAAAATTCGTAAAAAAATCCAAACTTGATCGGAATGAGCTCAAACTTTCTACGCAACATAAGTACATGTATATGCATCAGAAAATACTATAAAAATTGAGAATTCTCTACTTTTCATTTTTGTCAAAATACCATGGATCAGGGTTTCCCACAAAGCTCTACTGAGCAAGCTAAATCTGAGCTGACAAGAAGCTGAGCACTATACTGGGAAACCTTGAGCCAAACTAAAGGCTATGTACATGTAGGTGATAAAGCTACCATCACCAACAGATCATAGGTCATCAAAAGTTTACACAATCCAATTAAAGAGAGTTCAAACTAACAAACATGACACCCAAGTACATGTACACGTACATATGACAAATAATTGGTCATTATTGCTAATTTTAAGCTGCTGTAATAAAGTCACACAATTGTAAGCCAAAATAAATTATTTTCAAGCCAACTGTCCTTACCAGTAGGTAATATCATAAATTCCTGCATGGCCAGCTTATTTCCAGCATGAGATCCCCCATTGATAACATTAAGGGCTGGGACTGGAAGCACAACATCCTTATTACCAGCAAGATCAGCAATATGTCTGTAGAGAGGGACTCCTTTATGAGCCGCCCCTGCTTTACAGACTGCTAGTGACACACCAAGGATTGCATTAGCACCAAGATTAGTCTTATTCTCTGTTCCATCCAACTGGATAAAGAGAGAGAGAGAGAGGGGGGGGAGGGCATGTTGTGAACACATGTTGATCACATGTAACAAGTCAGTAAAAGTAGCATGAACAGAAGTGTGAATGTGCATGTACATGCACGTGTATGCATTGTAAGTTGTCCAGTGCACTCAATGTTTGCTTAGAACTGACCTCAAGCATTATCTTGTCAACTTCTTTCTGATTGGTCACATCTATGTTTTTTGAAATCAATGCCGGCCCTAATGCAAACAAAAAATGACAAAAATGAAAGAAATACGATCGCTACTGGGTTATAGTCAGGAAGCTATTCAAAAATGAAGATCTCAGGTAGGAACATACCTATAACAGTGTTCACATTTTGAATGGCTTTCAAGACACCCTTCCCTAGGAATCTCTTTGGGTCTTTGTCTCTCAGTTCCAAGGCTTCATATATGCCAGTACTGGCTCCAGAAGGTACTGCTGCTCTGAAGACTCCTTTGCTTGTCGTTATGTCTACTTCAATGGTGGGGTTTCCACGACTGTCGAAGATCTCTCTAGCCAAAACCTTGCTAAGTCCAGACATGTTGTTGTTAACACCTTTGACCTTCGGCTACATTCAATTAGAATAGAATTTCAAAATGTTTTCTTCTGATTCGTTAAATTGAAACGATTCGAGTATATTCGGTCCTTTGCAGTCATCAAAAGATGGCGTCTTTTTGCTAGAGTTGTCAAGCGTCGATCTTCTGTTTTGACGTTCCCTTTAGACATCTTACGCCTAGAAAACCACAGTAAACTACACAGAGACTGTTTCCAGTCCCTCCATTGTAGCGAGGGAGAAGCAGAAGAAGTATTTGCAGGTAAATCCCCAATCGTCTCTCTCGCTCTATCTAATCTCATTACGTAGACACAGACTTGCAGTCTACAGGGCTCTCTTATTCTCTCCCATCTTCCTACTAGAAGAGGTCTCGCGCTGGTCGTGTGTTTGCAACAATGGGCGATTCCTGGTCATGCATATCCTGCTTAGGAGTTGAAGAGGCCCCGGTAAGTCATTCGATCTCTCCTGTACAGGTAGCCATGCGTTTTTTGTCTAAACATTCATCTTTCCTCTCCATTGAGGATAATTACTGATGCCTATCCTATCAGTATACCGGTTCCTAACTTGTAGCTTTATCAGAATTTCATTTTAAAAAATAAACATTTTGTTTTGGTCCCTCTACTATCATCACCCAATTAATTTTATTGTTATTATTATTATTATTTCATGTATTGGTTTGGGTTTATGTGTCTCTATTATTGGGTGGTTGTATTATTATTAGTGGTTTGATGCATGTTCAAAGACATGTTGTTACAATGTTTGAGCTAGTGTGGTAAATGACCCAGTTTGGTATGTTACTAAAAATAGCTTCAACTATATATAGACATGTATGTAGTACAAATTGTACCAATTATTGTTGTTACTAATGACCCTATCTCCCTCCCTTCTCCCTTCCCTTTATCCTTAATCCCTCCCCCCCCTCTCTCTCTACTTGTAACCCTCTCTTCTCTTCCTCCTCTCTCTTCTCTTTCTCTCTCCCCCCCCTCTCTCTCTCTCCCTCTCTCCAGCCTCCTAGAAGAAAAAAGATTGATCGGAGTATGATTGGATTACCACAAAACTTCCAACACACAGGTCATATTGGCTCGTCAGATTTTGGATCATCAGATGTAAGGACTAGAAGATGATGACATTAGATAAGAAGATGGCTGTTTTTGTTATTTTTATTCTATAGATATCATCAGTACAATCTCAAATGCAAAGTAAAGGCGGCTACGATGAAGTAACTGAAGTACCCGAAGACGTGACGCCATCTGGACAATATGTGGTATGTACTTTACAATACTCCCTTTCTTCTTCCTATCTGTGTTTTATTATTTCCTTTCTCTCTCCCCCCCCCCTCTCTCTCTCTCTCTCTCTCTCTTTCTCTCTCTCTCTCTTTCTCTCTCTCTCTCTCTCTTCTCTCTCTCCCCTCACTCTCTCTCTCTCCCCCCTCTCTCTCTCTCTAGGGTCATCAAGAATGACTTTAGTGCATCTTTAATTTACATTACGTTATTGTGTAATTTATTAACTTGAAGATTTTAGCATTCCTATTTGTGACTCTAAAGGGTATGTCCCTGTTCTGTGCCCTTTATTACATGTATTAATGTTTTGCTGTGATTCTGTACTCCACGCATGTATTGAGTATTCACAAATTTTCCTCATATTATTATTACTATTAATTTATTATTATTATTTCAATTCCTTTCTTTCTTTCTTTCTCTCTCCCTCTATTTCTCTCTTGTGTGTTAAATTGTTAAACATTATTATCATGTGACTCATTATAAGACAAATTTGTCTCTCCCTTTCCTTTAAAGGGAAGGGTATAGCCAGCTGCTGCCTACTAAACACCATACACCTGTCACGCTGTTAACAAGACCTTTTTACACTGTACAGACATGAACATAAAATGGAGCCATTGGCCCATTGTACTACCTTATACAATAAAAGGCACATTGCCTTCCTTTCCTGCTACAACCACAATTGTCTTGTGTTATTTTAAATTATCAATCCAACTGCCCCTTTCCCCTTGTATACAGCAATTACTCTAATAATGTGTGAAGTCCCTCAAGTGGCTATTTACTGAACAAGGAATGATGGCAACAATAACAGCATAGTGTTGGTACTAGTAACAATGTCATCATTATAATGATACAAGACAAACAATTGTTGGTACACCACAAATGTATAGTCATGCGTGTACTATATGAACTATTGGCATCACTGGAATTCCAGCTGCAGGCAAACGTTGTTATTTAGATAATTCAGAATGTACACAACCGCACCCAATGTCAATAATAGTTATTATTATTATACAATTATAAAAATTATTATAAAAATAAAGTTATCGTATATTAATTAATCATCATCGTCATCAATCGTACATCTTCCTGTGCAGACAAAGTTCAGCGTATATGCACACATGACCAGTATGCCAACTAGTAAAAGAGCAAGGGCTATTATCCAGCCAAATAGGAGCAAGAAAAAGAACCATCCTATAACAAGGACGACTGCCATGCAGGGACCTGCTTTGTGTGGCTTGTACCATTGACCGCGTGGATCCGTGTGACATAATCTCCAGCAACAGCCGTGGTGCACTTCTGGAGAGAAAGAAAGGAGAAGGCATAAGGTAGTATCATAGTGAAGATGAAAGTAAAAGATAACTGAATGCAATTGAATAAAATAAACAAAATACACAGATGTAAATATTAATGATATTATACTTCATAATATTTACCAGATTCAGGTACAGTGTTGTAGTCGGATTCCCTCTGTAGAGAATTTGTCAGTGTCGCATTTTGTAATCTTCTTAGAGTCGGTCTTATGGGTACAATGAATGGCAGCTGCTTTCGTGGTGCCTCCTATCATAAAATGCAATAATATACACACACTCCATTCAACAACTCACTGGGTATTTTTGAGCGGGAACATATTCAGGTGGAACTTCTTGACTTATTGATATTGAGTCAGAGGACAAAAAGTCGGTGTCTGTTGTGGAATAAAATAAATGCATTTTTTATAGAGTAAATTCTTGTAAATTATTTATTAATCCTATAGCATGATAAGCATTTTGTGTGTCCCTCCTTCCTTATCAGTGGCCATACCTTCATCACTATCAAAATCAAATATTGGAGACAATTTTGTGCTTAGCTCCTCCTCGACGGCTAAAATCCCATCTTCTAGAGATTTAAATTTACCTTGCTATGGGAAAGAAAGGAGACAATACACATATTGATAATAGCGAGAGAAAAGATCATGGACGTACAATTCCTTCTACAAATACTTCTCTTTCACCAGTCAGACCCATAGCATAATGCTTAAACACTAGTCCTTCTGGTTCGCTATAATTTGAAACATAAGATATATTTTAGAATGATGATGGTCCTACTCAAATCTAATGACAAGTTGGTAGCTTTGTGGATCGTGGAAATGAGATACCAAGTACGTGGCATGTTTTCCATGCTGTCTCAGTAAATCCTCTGACTGCTGGCTGGAGAAATCATCAAATATGAACCTAGAGAGAAAAAGTAATTTTTAAAATAATTTCAACTTTCTTGCCTGGCACTGCTTGGTCTTCTGATACGTTTTGTGTGTCCTTTTCTTCTCCTTTTCACTTCCACCTCATCCCCTGACTGACCTCCATCCGACAACAATGTCTTATGTAACTGGGTAGCTATTTTAAAAGCTTATAAAATGCATTCATTTAAAATAGCTTACCTTTGTCGTCCATCATCGGTAGAGTACCAACTATTAGAGGCAATACGGTTTTATGTGCCCGCCTACCCACGTGGATCAACGTGGGTATTACAGGAAAGAGGCAAGGCCAATTAAAGGCTATAATGGCAGCATCGGTAACAATTATCTCGCTTTTTATAATCATTTTTATATCGATCTTTTTGACTTGCAGGCACCTCCTGATAAGAAAAGGCGAGAGACCCTCTTGAGTGCAGAACTAGGCAAATACCTTGACAAGAGAATTAGAGTTAAATTCCAAGGAGGAAGAGAAAGCAAGTTTTAAAAATAACAATTAATTGCATTATAGTTCTTTATGGTGACAGCTAGTGGCATATTGAAAGGCTACGATCAACTCCTCAACCTTGTACTGGATGGTGCTATTGAATACTTGCAAGGTACCTCAAACCACGCCTGTCACTTTTATAAATTAATGAGTTGCCCACCCACCAATTAAAATTTTTAGACCCAAAGGATCAATTTAAGTTGACAGACGAGACTCGTTCTCTTGGTCTCGTGGTCTGCCGTGGAACAGCTGTGGTGCTAATATGTCCAGCAGACACTATGGAGCCTATTGCTAATCCATTCTTACAACAAGAGCCATCTTAAGAACAAATAATGTATTATTTAATGGACAAACATGTTTGGATAGTAATGTACTGTATCAGTCTCTCTTATTATTATTGTTTTAGTTTTTTCCTGTTGAGCCAAATCCTCCAGAGCCTCGCTCTGTTGAATCCAAATTCTGTATAATGGAATAGTTTGATGTCACATGTGTTGTAATATATTTCTTGTTACTCACATCAACTTCTTCAATGCCTGCTATCAGGATTCGTTCTAATATCAGTTGAGCTATTCTGTCACCTTTATGAACTACGTGTGTGTGTTAACTTTTAGGCACTTGTTCTCATTGACTGACCTTGATAATCTACCTTAGACAGATTGAACATAATGACACCAACATTACCACGGTAATCTCTATCAATAACACCAGCTGGAGTGGAGGGAAAGAGGTGTAATAACAAAACTATAGAAGACTATTGATGTAATAACTATTTTAAAAACCAGTCTTGTAGGCTAGATTTTACTCAACAAAATCCGCCCCTTGCATGCTTGTTCACATCTTGAGGCGTAGTCAAGGTATCTTGTTTACACCCACAGGTGTCAAAAACCCATCTTTCAATAATGCAATATTACCACTTACCTCCAATATCAATGTGATGCTTCCATGCTAATCCTGAACGTGGAGCTACAAGAAAAAGATGCCATTAATTATATAATAATAATGATAATGATCAAGTTACCGATTCTTCCATAACAGTAAGGAGGGAGGGCTATGGCTATGTCCGTTTTAACGACTGCTTTGCCTTCAGCTGGAACTACAGTTTCATATGCACTGGGAAAGAAAGAAACATCAAACCAAACACTTCACAATAATGTTATAAAAGTATTGTTAATTATTTCATGTGGGGTCAGTAACATGTTTGGATTGGGATAAAAAATAACAAACATTGTACCAACCTGTACAAATCATAGCCAGCTGCTTCAGAGGAGCCTCTTGTTGGCAGATAAGCGTACTCTGTTAGTTTCATGACCCTCAGTGGGACAGTAGAGTTGCTGTCTCCATTAGAGTGCTCGACTGAATTGCTGTCTCCATTAGAGTGCTCGACTTTGAGCCTTTTAGTAGCTGAATTATCAACACAGTCAGTAACAAGAGCCATAGTAGTAGTGATGGGGAGGTGTAGATTCAGGAACTGAAGAGATAGAGATCTTGATCTACTACACACTATTCGTGGTATCATAAGGCATGAAATCACACCCACTGAAATTAGAAACTTTGTTCACACTCAATAATTTCTTAATTAGATCTTACTGAACAATAACAGCTATAGTTATGAATAATAATATTTATAAATCATTCAGTCTCAAGATTGTTAGAGTTTTGTCAAGAGGCCAGAATCAGGAGCTGAGGTCTTAACGAGAGGCTGGACTTGTTTGAATTTTGGATGCTTAGAGTCTCCCAACAATTCAAAGAGTACAGACTCGCTAGTGCTGACAAATGCACCACATTGACGCATTCTCTAGCAAAGAAAATATATAATAATAGTTATATTTTTTTAATTGTCTAACTTCAAATGCAAAGAACCGATCAACTTGAGAGCGAGAGGAACAACCGTCAGCAACAACGTGGACATCAAACCCACGCTCTATCAGGTCAAGACAGGTCTGCTGGACACAAACTTGAGTCTAAATAGAAAAATATAAGATAGTAGAAATTTTGAGATTTTTGGAACTTTAAAAATTCATAAAAAATCCTCATGTGATCAGAATGAGCTCAAACTTTCTACGCAACATAAGTACATGTATATACATCAGAAAAAATTATAAAAATAAAAAATTCTATACTTTTCGCTTTTGACAAAATTTGGCGAAAGTCCCTGTACTTATAGTACAGGGATTTTTGCCCAATTTTGGAGCAAATTAAAAATTTCATAAAAAAAATCTAAACTTGATCGGAATGAGCTCAAAGTTTCTATGCAACATAAGTACATTTATATGCATCAGAAAATAATATAAAAATGAAGAATTCTCTACTTTTCATTTTTGGCAAAATTTGGCCCACGTCCCTGCATTACATTATTATACATAGTCTATTGGTCTTTGGCCAGATTTTTGGGTAATTTTCATACCTCAATTCCAAACAGTACAACACTTTTCCTGCTGCTTTCTGCTCTAAGAATTTCTTCAACTTCAGGTATAACCATGGAGAACTTAGTTTTTTCAAAAACTTGTGCTTTAGAAATGTCAATATCTTTAACAGTATTACCAAGCCCTAGCAGCAAAGGCAGCAAGTAAGGACAAGAAGGCAGTGTATTAATAATTGATACTACCTTTCGGATATTGCTCTGTCGCTATTACTGGTATTTCAAGTATGTTAGCAGCTTCAACCTTTAAAAGGCTACAATAGTTTATAGTCATCACCTTTGATTTGCTCACCATTTTCTTTGCCACTGTAGTTATTTCAGGGAAATACCTAATAATTGGTTGAAATTTCTCTTGCATGTCACACAGAAAGAAATAGCAATTGTTGGTGGCCAGACGACCAACATTTCTCAGAACTTGAGCTGCAAAAATAGAAAAAATAAACAAGACTTGCAGCTTTATCAGTTTGTGCTTACCTGCCATTTTTTAATGAGCCACGCCTCTTTTGAACACACCTGTTTTATGGGGCGTGGGTCTCTAGATCTAGCAGCTTTGGCTGTTGCTTCTTGTCTTGTTGTCGTTTTATAGTAAACCACTTGAGTAAACAAATCTCCCGGCTGTCTCCCCTGCAACGAAAAATACGTCTTTTTAGCAGCTTGGCCTGAGAAGAGGAATTTTTGTCCTCATTATTTGCTCTTGTTGTTGCTCATTTTGATCAGAACTCTCCTCCATTTTTTGTTGGGTCAGGTTTTATCTCTCAGCTGCAAGATGACATCAGCCCCTCGCTCTCCTCTCTACATCCTCTCTGCAAGAGAAGTTAGTCGCAGCTGCGAGGAAGCAACAGAACTAATGGAGCTTGTGGCCGAGCTTCTCCTACTCCGCTCAGGCTCAAAATCAACCAGAGCACCCCCTCTCCATCCCTTCTCTCTTTCAGATAACTCTTACAGCAAATCCCGTGACGCCATAGTGGCCAATACGAAAGGCCTTGCAATTGCAATCAAGGATTTAACAAGGCAGCTAAAGGACGAGAGTTTTGCAGATGTTGAAAGGACAGTCCGTTCCATTTCGGAGAAAGTAACAATATTAATAGAAGCAACAAGTCATGCAGCGTACATCACTGCTCTCTCGAGCGACGGGACATCTCCGGCTAAACCGGGACCCATCGATCAATACTCTTTTGCAAAATCCCGCCTCATTATTTCGAATACGTGCAACAAGTTCTCCAGCGAAAGGGGAAGCACTCTTAGTAACGATGACATGCTTGAACTAACTCAAACCATTGCAAGCAACCTGACAATTTTACGCCAAAACTGTCAACAGGCATCAACTGCAGAAAGCATAGGAGAACTAGCTCAGAACCAGTTCAGCGCTTGCGTGCAAAGTCTTGATGGGACTTCGTCAGCATTTGTGTCATCAGTCAAAGGGTTCCTTACCAGTGGGCGTGGGAGTGACAAAAAGAAAGTGGCCATGTTTACTGTTGCTTTGGCAGCTGCTGTTAACAGTGTTGCTGGATTTGCTGCGTTGCCAGAATTTGCAGGTGGTGTTGCTTCCTTTTCTACTGAAGGAGAACAGAATCAGACCGAGATGCTAGCCAGAGCAATGTCTGTCGTGAGTGCAAGCGTTCAAATGCTAAACACTGTCACTCAACTGATTGATAATAAGATCGGATCAGCAAAAAGCCTCAACCTTGGAGAGAAGAAGATTTCAGATGAAAAGCATTGGCAGAGGCTGGTAAGTTGTACTCGTGCAGTTGCTGAATCTTGCAAGATGTTGGCATCTTCTATTCGCGAACACACCCCCTTTGTATCACCTCAAGGAACTCCTCCCATCCCCAGAGCAAATCAAACTACTTAGAATAATTTTGGTAAAGCATAAAATATATTTATTATTATTATTTTGATTATTAATGTCACTTCTGGTTTCATGCTCATTAAAATATAATTCATTGAATTTGGATGTAGTTATACGGTCTCCGGATATTCATCTGTCGTAATGCCGAAATTACTCTATTTATTCAAAGTTGGTAATATTAAACAAAAACTAATAACCAAGCCCACTCTGTCACCTCATCAGCAGATCACCATCAACCTCTCCCAGAGCCTCTCCCTCCTTCAGAAGTGGCTACCATTCAGAAAGCACCCTGACTTTGAAACCCATGTCAAACACTACCTTCTTTCCCCAAGGATGGAGACAGGGGAAATGATAGAATGGCACCAACTAGACAAAAAGAAATACTTTATCCTGGCCCCTTCTTTTTTTATGGTAGTACGTGGCCTAGTGTACCCATTCAACCTCATAAAGACTAGACTCTACATGCAAGAAAAGAAATCAATATACACAGGGACGACCAACGCTTTCATTAAGATAGCCCAGTACGAGGGTATATCTGGTCTTTACAGAGGGTTTTTATTTAATTCGTTTGGGTTGGTAGCTGGTCAGGTTTACATTATCACATACGAGCTGGTACGAAGCCGTCTACATGGTTACCGGACGGAGCTAAAGGGCCTACTGGCGGGCGGTTGTGCTACAGTCATGGGACAAACTGTAACCGTCCCTGTTGACATCATAACCCAGCACAGAATGATGGCCGGCCAGTTCAAATATTACACAAAAGGAATGACTCAGTCGACTCAGAACTTACCCACTGCCGTTGATATAGTGAAGGACATAATGAGACGAGAGGGTTTTCGAGGATTTTTTAAAGGGTACCACGTCTCTCTGATGACATACGCACCTAACAGTGCACTCTGGTGGTCTTTTTATAGCGGCGCATATGAAAAGGCTGTCCAATTTGGACTATTGGACTACTTCCCATTGCCAGTAGTACAATCTGCCACTGGTGTAGTAGCAGCTGTTCTAGCAGCATCAATAACGAATCCAATGGATGTATTGAGAACTAGATATCAAGTGAGCTGATACTATTATCAGTCTTTTTATTAACTTTTTGCATTTTAAAAATACTCTATACAGTTAGAACAAGATAACACATTCCGTGAAACATGTCGCCAATTCTGGCAGAATGAGGGTATTAGGGGATTCACTAAAGGACTCAGTGCTAGATTAGCGGCCACCATACCAACAGCTGCCATTATGGTAACTAGTTACGAGCTCGTTAAGAGACTGAGTCTCAAAGTCAGCTAGCAGGTCAATGGCTTCCGATTTTATTTATTTTAAAATAATAATTATTTTCAGAGAGGCTGTATACAAATTATAATTATCAAAATTAATAATAATTAAATTATTAAAGCTATTATTATTGTTATTAAACATCCTAAATTATCGGGTGCAGATGAAAGTAATTCGTGATCTTGAACTACACTGGTCTGGTAGTAAATATTTGGAACCTATAGAAAGGACCCCATACCACCATGATACCACATAAAAACCACATATAATATAGCAAGCACATAGTTTCAATCAACTGATGAAGCTCTTGTATTTGCTGTTTGATTATAGTATTGTGAATTACAGAACAACATATGCAATATACCATTGGTTATTAATCAAACAATTCTGTTACTGCATAAACTGTATCTCTCAATCTTTGATAAATCAGTAGTGGTTGTTCTATTCTCATCTCCTCCTTCTGTGCTAAGTAAACCGATATTACTAACAGTTCTGCTTGTGGTTGGTGTCCCTTCCTTCCCTTCTTCCTCTTTCTCCTCCTCCTTCTCTTGGCTCCTCTGACCACAAGCTACTCCCAGTAACAATATCCCCATTAATGTCTTCAAGGATACTAAACTATAATAGGAACAACAACAACGTGTGTAGGATTACAATAATAGAACTCATATCATGAATGACATAATTGCCAGTTATGCACAGTAGTATGATATAAGAACATGACTTGTCACATGCACAAGATATGCATGTGTGTACAACTGTACATCACTACATGTAATCCTACATCAGTACATCTATAGTGTACAAATAATGCCACAGGCACTGCAAACAAATGATGATGCATAAATTATAAACTAATCTCCCACTCTCCTTTCCCTTAGAGGGAATACAATTACAATATTAAATTACTTACCAAGCAAAGGTTATTGCTAGTAATAGCTTTCCATAGAATCCTGGGAAAGTAATGAAAGTGAGGAGTGTCTGTAGAAGGAGGCAGGTTAGTGGTAGTGGAGTGAAACCCATACGCCGGGACACAAGATCGGAATATTGAGAATGAGACTGGAAAGGTACATGTATAAACAATATTTTAATTTATTTGCACATGTACGTCTCTCAATCTCTTGATTTCCCCCCTCTCTTTTTTCTTTTTCTTTCTTACCAATTTATTCTGGCTATTTGTTAAATCCCTGGCCAAGATGACAGCATATTTCCGATACACAAAAGGCGATATCGAATTGAACTTTGTAATGAAGCCATGCTTAATCCAGTCGATAAAGACTTCAGATACAAATATTATGACAATGAGGGGAAGTAAGGTATGTAAGTGATCTATAAAGAGAAGACATGATGAGAAAGAAAGTAAGTAATCACATTATATTTTTACACTTTTCAGAACTACATGTAATGAACACATTATACAATGAATTAAGTCTTGTGTAGCATGAAGACATGCCAGTTTAGATGTGGAATGCAGTTTTAACCGGTTTATCTAAACCACCTCAGGTAGGTGGTTTAAACCAGTTTAATGTGAGCATAAAACAACTAACTGTAGTTATACAGTGTATAGCATGTGAGTATCAAGGATATTAAGCAATATCCCTTGCACATATGACATCCTACCTAAATTCCATTGAAATTGTGCTAAATTTCTCATCATTACAATAGAGAGAAGGATAAGGTAATGGAACCTTTCCCTAATGTCTGCAAGAAATGGATCCTGTACATGGATATACACATACATGTACATACAGGCACACATGCATATGTATATGCAATACATTACCACTTGATGACATCTGGAATAAATTATTCACGTCGAATTTCCTAAAAACGTTTCCCTTGAGTTCAACAAACTGATTAGAAACCAGTACAGTGAGCAATGCCTTGTTGTGTGAGTTGATGGCTACATTAAGAGTCACTGCCTGGCATAAGACCAACACAGCATGAATGACTAAAGAAGAATCAAGAAAAATCACAGAAGGCAATCACAGAGTAACAATAGTATTACATCAGCTATTGCACCACTAGCCACTGGAATGTAACCAATGTTCTTGTGGTCTCTGGTATATTTATACCGTGGTAAGGTGACCTTCTGCTGACATGTGTATATTGTATCTTACTAAACACTGGTAAGTGCTGCATTTATGAAGGACATAAATATTTATGCCAGATTAGACAAAGAAGCACAACACAAGAACATACACATACACACACAACCGAATTTAAAATATACTTTATTAAGGCAGCTGCTAAAAATACAATTTTAAAGACAGACAGCAGGTGTTCTGCTCTCTCAGCACTTCCCCAAATAAAAACATTCACACTCACTTCCAGTAACTAAGGATACAAATATAGGCGGTACCAATTATGCCATAGAACAGAACTGAGAGTACGTCTCTCTTTCTTTGGGTCTTCTCCGATAAAACCCAATAAAAAGAATCCAGTACGTCTTGACCAATAGAGGCAGCCAAACGATCGAAAATCTAAACAAAAAACATTGAAACTGGTTTCATTTCTTCTCTCTCTCTCTCTCTATCTTACATCTAGCATATTATAAATGACATATAGTTTAATAACGCTTTGACCACGGACTAGATGATACACTTGAGAGGTATCCACATAACCCATACCAACCACACATACCACCAGCATTAGACCTTGAAGAGAGAGAAAGAGGACCATATAATTAATTAATACACATCAACCATTAGTTGTTGGTGTGGGTGACTGCTGATGAAGCAGTGTGGTCATGATATAATAATGGAGGAGCAGTCAGGAGCCTGTTTATCCTAAACACTCTCTGCTACCACCATATACAACAATCACATTCCAATTTCCATCTATGAGCAACCACACAGTTCAGTACAGGATAATGGATTACTATAATGTACTGGAACTGACATTAAACTCTGAAGTCTTTGTTATTTGTTAACTGACCTATGTTATTCGCTACCCAATCATATGCTTACCTCTAGCAATATCCCATTTGTGTGTTGGTAGAACTGTTAACCTACATGTACATGTGCAATAATTGGAGTAAAAATGCAACAGCTGCTATACAGTACCTTCTACATGTCAGGAATTGAAAAACAAGTACTAGACACGCCCAAGCGACTCGTATTGGGAGGAACGAGAATATGAGGAGGAAAGAATCAAACATGATCATGACTCCAAAAAACATCAACTAAACAATAACAATAACAATAACAATAACAATAACAATAATAAGAATGTTATAATTATTATTAAAAATGTAATACTTTGATTGCTGACTGTAGTATGACCTCAGAGTGTTCAAGGCAGTTTATACTAAGAATTGATTATTAAGAGGGAGGTGTGTATACATATTGATACTCACAAGGCTTTTGTTGTGAATGCAGAGTGGCGATTTACATGTACATTAAATTGAAGAGTGCATACAAAATTTTACACATTATCGTCGTCATTCATCATTACTACGATAATCATTAAATTAATATTAACATAACGTAATTAAAATCTCCCTTTTCCCCACATTCCTTTCAATTATTGACTGTTAATTTATTATTAATTATTAATTTATTATTACTTTCTCCAGTTCCCGTGGCGTTCTCATAAAGGTTAGTACTCGGTTTTGTTTCTCTGAATAGAGTTCTTTATTTTCCTGAAAGTGATAACCTCTGGTTATCTCACCCTTGAGAAAAGTGAACAGTGAAATACCTTTTTAAAAATAAAATAAAATCAACTGAGTGACACCATTAATTATGGTGACAGTATATTATACCTTTCTCCTCCATCTTTGATCTATTCAGTTTATTCTCGATGGATCGGGATGGTGACGTCATGAATACGTCTAAGTAAGTTACGTCTTATAGATAGAGCGGTTTCAGTGACGTCACTTTTGACGTCATAATTACTTCCGTATGGCAAAAATTAATGAGCCTCATTTGTTTACAGCAGTAAAGTTGCTTCTTCCACAGCTTCTTTCATACAGCACAAGGCAGAAAAGGAGTAAAGTTATAGCAGTAGTAAGCAGAAAAGTAGCGATAGCAATAATTATAGGAGTAACAAGACAAGACTGTGTTCACTTCGGCCGCTTCACTGGTTCTCTATCCGAGGACTTTTTGCTTCCTTTGTATCCCTGGGTCCAGGCAAATGAAAGAGCAGCACGAATTAGCCATGCTCATAGTTAAGGAAGCCTGCCAGAAGAGTTTATAGCGCTGTACAAATGAATGGCAAAGTAGCCATTTTGCCATACGGAAGTAATTATGACGCATTCCGTGACGTCATATGAAACCGCTCTATTAGATTTAATAAAATTATAAAAAGAGCAGCTCTTCTGCATCATATGCATCTTGTGACGATTTCTTCTCGGTTCTCTCCGATATAGGGATATTCTACCAACTTTTGAAAGACCATGTCTCGGACAGTTTTTCTTACTCTCTTCTTTGCAGCCAGCTCTATATTGTGCGTCAATAATGCGCCTAGTATTGGTAAGTGAGTACTATATATTTGTGGGTGCTGTGTTTGCGGGGCATGCTTCTAGCTATCTATCTCTCTCTCTGTTATGTGTTTTTGTTACAAGCAAGCCTTGCTGTAAATGCTGTAACATGCTTGTAGCTTCTCTTGTGTGTAACCCGTCGCCTCTGATGTGATGATTGCACCATAATATGCAACGTCATGCTATGGCTACTGAGTTATCAATCTCTTTTCTCTTTACACAGAGTCCTACAGCTACCAAATCATAACGGGACCTCTTTTACAAGAGAACTCTCTAGATGGGAACTCTCTCCCGAGCTTTACCAGCACTGGCGTTACTGATTCTGGCAGTCTTGGCAGCACTATACCACAGTCTCTTCGCAAAGTCACGAGAGGAGATGTGACCATGATAGTAGGGGGAGAGAAGAACTCGAGCAGTGCCATTTGCCTTAGAGGAGGACGAGTGTTGAGTCGCTTTTCCGTTTGCAACACCAACGGTGCTCAAGATGTCCGCTCTTCTCCCCTAGGGTTCATTGTGTTTTGTAGGAGAGGGCAGATAAAGTTGTTCAATGCTATTACCTGTCAACCAATGAACTCTCTTCCTTTAAGACCCTACTCCACCCTAGCTGTCCTCTCCTCTCCAGATAATGTCACCTTCACTGCCTACATCACTAGACATGGGAATCTAGTGAGATATGAATTTAAAGGAGGATCGATTACCCTCTACACACAAAGTGACATAGCAAGCACCTTCGGGACATGCTCCGTTGAATGGTCTCCTCGTACATACAACGACACGCACTTTATTTTTGAGTGCCCGTCCAGCAACTTGAGATACTTAGTTGATGGCTTTATCAGTAATTCCAATAAAGAGGCACCAGCTGGATTGTTGTCCATCAACACCGGAGAAGACGAGGCTGTTGTCATAACTGGAGACCATTCCCTTAGTTTTTATTGGAAAGGATTCAATTCTCGGTGTAGGATTAATGTCCCTCAGAGTACATCGTTACTGACTGACCCGACTACCATAGACTTCGGTAAGAATAATGGTCAAACTGTTATTTTCTTATTTAACAATTACAATACGTTTGTGTATGATACTAGTCGTGGATGCAAGGATGAGTATTTACAGAGGCTAAACGTGACATATCCTTGTGTCACAGGTAAATGTGATGGATACTACATAGTTGAGGATGGCCCATATTTTGTAGCCGTAAACAATAGATCATCAAAGCTCACCCTTGATCTATTTTATTTCAATGATGCTACAGCTGCTCCTCACACAATAACTAATCTTCAAGAGTTACCGGACGTTTTGAATGTGAACAAGTCACAAGTACACAACACCAGTCCACAGGTCATCAGTATAATCACGGATACAATGATTTCATCTCAAACGATTACAAGTACTACTAGTACAATAGAATCCTCAAGTTCTCCTTCTCTTTTAATCACTTCTCCTTCAACAACTAGTTCTACATTATCTTCCTCTCCCTCGCCAACTCTTTCCCCTCAAACTGAGGTGTCGCATCACCTTTATGTTGGATCTGCCATTGCTTTAGCTTTTGTTGTTATTATTATCAGTATTATAATTGTAGCTGCTATATGTGTGATTAATCATCAGAAGCACAAGAAGTCTCAAAATCCTGCAAGTGTAAGTATAACCACCGACTCTGCCTCTAATCCTTCTACAAGATCGTGTTCAGTAGAACCCATTGATGTTTATGTGACTGAAGCTGAGCCCAGGCAGGAGTCCGGATTGACAGCAATACCAATCCCTGCTTTACCCAGTATAACAATCTCTGCTTCGCCCAGTATAAATAGTTTTAGTGATGGCTATAAAAGACCGACAGCTGAAGAATCAAACCCAGACCCAGCCAGCCTGGTTTAGACTAACCAATGATATAGCACTCATCATGCATCATTCCTTTATTATTTACATTATTATGCACATCTGGTAATATAATACATTGTTTTAATAATAATAATAATAATTTTTTTTAATTAGCAAATTAACATAAAGGTTAGGTGGAAGGTCAATTAAGGGTACAACTGAGTCATTCTGTACTGTTGGCATAACAATGAACTATGCTTTGAACTATGCTTTGATGATAATCTCATGTAATTTTTATAACTAGTGTGACGCCCCATTAATTAAACACCTTATACCACGCCTACTTTACAATGGCTACCAGTAAGTAGGGCCACTGAGTGACCTTTTAATATTATTCTCTTCCTTATAGATGGTTACGCGTCTCTTCTGAGAGATATTAAAATAGAAGGCAGCTCGTACAAATATTATTCACTCAGAGATCTCGGGAAAGAATACGGTTAGCCCCAGAAATCCAAAAATTAAAATGATAAAATAATCAAGTCATGACTAGTCATGATCATAGCATGCATTATTGATAATTATAAATATTAATTGTACTTGTAGATTCTTTACCTTTTTCTATACGTGTTCTGCTTGAGTCTGCTGTAAGAAATTGCGATGGTTTTCAAATCAAAAAACGTGACGTAGACAACATCCTCAACTGGAGCCAGAACCAAGGGAACTCAGTGGAAATACCCTTTAAGCCGTCAAGGGTTTTACTCCAAGACTTTACGTAAGGACAATCATATTAACAATAGATAAGAGATAAACGTACAAATATTAGTACTTTGATCAAATCTTTTTTTATGATACACCTCTCTCCCTCCCTCTCTCTCCCTCTTTCTCTCTCTGTCTTTTCACTAGTGGTGTTCCAGCTATTGTTGATTTTGCTGCCATGAGAGATGCCATGAACAAACTTGGTGATGATCCTTCTAAAATTAATCCGGTTTGTCCAGTTGATCTTGTCATTGATCACAGTGTCCAGGTGATTCCTTTTACAAGCAGCTGTGAAGAAAAGCGTGTACATGTATTTCAACGTGTCTGTACATGTAGGTTGATTTTCATCGAACTCATGACGCATTAGAGAAGAACCAACTGAGAGAGTTTGAAAGGAACAAGGAGAGGTTCCAATTCTTGAAGGTAAGGTTCTTTGAACTGCATGTACACGTATGCCCTATTATCCTTATCTCATCTCTTTGTTCTTTCTCTTTTCTTTCTCAGTGGGGAGCCAAGGCCTTCTCTAATATGTTAATAGTGCCACCTGGTTCTGGAATTGTCCATCAGGTTAGTATTCATTAGTACCAAAATGGATAATAATAATTAAGCTAATGAGTTATTTGACCTTTTCTTATCTCTTCCTAATAATTGTTATTGACACCTGTTCCTTTGAATGAACTCTGTAAACAACTCTCTCTCTCTTTCTCTCTCTCTCTCTCTCTCTCTCTCTCTCTTCTCTCTCTCTTTCACTCACAATAGGTCAACCTTGAGTTTCTTGGTCGTGTTGTGTTTGAGAATAAAGGATACCTCTATCCAGACACAGTGGTTGGGACTGACTCACACACGACTATGATAAATGGATTAGGAATTGTTGGATGGGGTATGAGCTCATTATTGTTTATAGTATTGCCTATGTTTAATGTCTCTCTAAGGTTTAATTGTATACATACATGTACATATACATGTATACTTCCTTTCCCTATCTGTTTCCTCCTTTTCTTGTCAGGTGTGGGAGGGATAGAGGCAGAAGCTGTTATGTTGGACCAGTCCATATCAATGGTGCTTCCTAAAGTTGTTGGATACAAGTTAATTGGAGAGATTGATCCAATGGCTACATCTACCGACGTTGTATTAACCATAACTAAAGTAAGTGAGCTGTATTATTATTTACTATTATAAATGATAATACTAATGTGCTGTACTGTAACACTGTATTAATTGCTATGATAGTATATGGATATGATGCAATGTAATTTAATAAAGGATATGGTTATGTAATCACATGTACATGTAATTCTAGACAGTGTCATGAGTGGATGTACTATGTACTTGTGTTAAGCTGTTATTATCATTGTTGTGCAGTGCCACATAGTATCATCATGATTTCATTGTCACAATCTTTCTTTTAAAACCACTTCACATTCTGATCACATCACATTTTATCATCATGTTTCATGTTCAGAGTGAGTCAGCAGATTTCTTGCTGACTCATTGTCTCACAGTACTTATTACTAATGAAGCTTTTGTGTTTTTCTTTTTATAGAATTTGCGTCAAATTGGTGTCGTGGGTTGCTTTGTAGAGTTTTTTGGTCCTGGAGTAAGCCAGCTGTCTATATCAGACAGGTTAGACTGCTGGAATACATTCTCATTATGCTATAAATATTTTCTTTCTTCTTCTCCTATTAGAGCAACCATCAGTAACATGTGTCCTGAGTACGGTGCTACGATAGGGTTCTTCCCAGTCGATGAGATGAGCATGAAGTACCTGCAGCAGTCGGCCAGGGACCCCCACAGGGTCTCGTGTGCTAGAGAGTATCTGAAGGCAGTTGGTATGTTCCGGGACTACAGCGACTCTAATCAGGACCCTGTCTTCTCTGAGGTTTGTGTGGAGTAAATACTGTAATCCTGTTTGTAATGAGGAAATGGATAGAATGTACATGTACATACATGGTAACAGTCTGACTGCATGCTGACCTTGCACATGATTTGAACCTTACCTATTCCTAACCACCATTGTGTATACAATAGGACTTTGATGTGGTGTTATCTCTCTTTCTTTCTTTCTCTATCTCTCTCTTTCTTTCTCTCTCCCTCTCTCTCCCTTTTTCTTTTCTTTAGGTGGTTGAGTTAGACTTATCCCAGGTGGTTCCATCAGTTAGTGGTCCAAAGCGTCCTCATGACAGAGTTTCAGTTTCTGATATGAGTAGAGACTTTGCAGAATGTCTGACAAACAAGGTAGCTCTCCTCTCTCTCTCTCTTTCCCAATTCCTTCCCTTCCTTTCCCTTTCAATATTAAGTACTTCCTTTATTATGTATAAATTTAGGTTGGTTTTAAAGGGTTTGGTATTCCAGAAGACAAGCTCAACACAAAGATAGAGTTCACATACGAAGGAAAGGAGTATAAGATAGGACATGGTAAGTATTGGCATATAGTACACAGTACACTACGTGTGTGTGTGTGTATCCTCTGCTGCTTCTTCTACAATACACACATACTACATTAATTGTTAGTGATTTGTATGGAGTAGGGCCTATTGAGTAAGTGTGAATGAATCTGGCTACTATTATAATACTACTGACTAGGCTGCTGATAACCAGATATAGAGCATCAAATAAAGGATAAACACCTCATGAGAGCATATTGATCATAGTTGTGACAAGTAGTTCATTAGTGGCTTTTTTTGCATGGCTTCCATCTCTAACCTGGAACATCAAACAGAATATATTCTATATAATGCCATTTTTACCACAGCTCTTAAGTACTAGTAGCTACATTGTAGTAGTCATGCAGTATTACATAACAAAAGGTCACAAACAATGTATAAACAACATTCCTTTATACACATAATGATACGTATTATGTGTATGTGTACATTAGTACTGTGAGAAAGCCCATTAAAAATATTTGACCACAGATGCCAGCATTGCTTTATGCTATCAAAATTTTGTTAGCTATGATCACTATTTGGCTTAAGGTCAGGGAAATAAAGATATCAATTGTGATTTAATGTACATGTATGTGTCATGATCACAAGCTCCAACATAAGGACAGCATAAGGACAAGTGCAATGAATGTCTCAGAAACTTGAACAGTAAATCATTAGAGCCTGTATTTTTCATAATTTACATCAGATTATGTGATGATTGTGTTTTATTTATGTAATACTGTCTCTTTGCAGGCTCTGTTGTCATATCAGCCATTACCAGCTGTACTAATACCAGTAATCCCTCCGTAATGTTAGGAGCTGGCCTCCTAGCTAAGAGAGCAGTTGAGAAAGGACTGACTGTTAGTCCCTTCATAAAGACAAGTCTATCACCTGGCAGTGGTGTAGTTACTTATTATCTTAAAGAGTCTGGGGTCATACCATATCTAGAGAAACTGGGGTCAGCTTAATCTTATTTATTACTGGTTCATGTCACACTATGTTATTGCTATTGCTGACTGCTGCATGTATTTGTCTGTGTTTTGTGTTCTATCATGTTTGTATTTTTATTACATTATATTGTGTTTTTATTTTTTATAAATAGGTTTGGTATAGTTGGCTATGGTTGCATGACTTGTATTGGCAATAGTGGGCCATTACCAGAGCCAGTGGTGGATGCAATTGAACAGGTAATATTGTAACACAATTATAGTGGTGCTGTGGTAGAATTTATTTATCTAAATTAAAATGATTGTACATTGCCAACTCCCCAAGTTTTATTTCATTTTCTGATACACATCAATGTCCTTATGCTATGTAGCAAGTTTGAGCTCTTTCCAACAAATGTTTTTAAAGTTATGGCCATTTTTAAAAATTAGCCAATTTTTGAAAAATACATTTTCTAATGCATATTGATGTTCTTATGCTATGTAGCAAGTTTGAGCTGATTCCGACAAATATTTTTGGAGTTATGGTCATTTTTTAAAAACTTCAAATTTCGGAAAAATACCCTGTACTATAGCCCATGGTTTTTTTTCAAAAAATGGCTAAAAAATCACCCCAAATTTTAATTACATTTTCTAATACATATTGATGTTCTTATGCTATGTAGCAAGTTTGAGCTGTTTCCGACAAATATTTTTTTCAAGTTATGGTCATTTTTAAAAACTCTAGATTTCGGAAAAATACCCTGTACTATAGCCCATGAGTTTTTTCAAAAAATGGCTAAAAAATTACCCCAAATTTTTATTACATTTTCTAATACATATTGATGTTCTTATGCTTTGTAGCAAGTTTGAGCTGTTTCCAACAAATATTTTTGGAGTTATGGTCATTTTTAAAAAACTCCAAATTTCGGAAAAATACCCTGTACTATAGCCCATGGTTTTTTTCAAAAAATGACTAAAATATCACCTCAAATTTTTATTACATTTTCTAATACATATTGATGTTCTTATGCTATGTAGCAAGTTTGAGCTGTGTCCAACAAATATTTTCCGAGTTATGGCCATTTGTTAAAAATGGCCAATTTTTGAAAAATACCCTGTACTATAGCCCATGGTTTTTTTCAAAAATTGGCTAAAAAATCACCCCAAATTTTTATTACATTTTCTAATACATATTGATGTTTTTTCCTATGTAGCAAGTTTGAGCTGTTTCCGACAAATATTTTCCGAGTTATGGCCATTTGTTAAAAATGGCCAATTTTTGAAAAATACCCTGTACTATAGCCCATGGTTTTTTTCAAAAAATGACTAAAATATCACCTCAAATTTTTATTACATTTTCTAATACATATTGATGTTCTTTTGCTATGTAGCAAGTTTGAGCTGTGTCCGACAAATTTTTTTTCGAGTTACAATCCTTTTAAAATTGTCCTCTTATAGGGTGAACTGGTGGCTTGTGGTGTTCTCTCTGGCAATCGTAACTTTGAGGGACGTATCAATCCTCATACAGCTGCTAACTACCTTGCCTCCCCTCTCCTGTGTATTGCATATGCCATTGCTGGGACTGTACTCATTGATTTTGAGAAAGAGCCATTAGGTAAGAGAGAGAGGGAGCCATTAAATCACTTTTCTCTCATTTCAAAGGTAAGGATCCTTCCGGACAGCCTGTGTTTCTCCGTGACATTTGGCCTCTAAGAGCCGATATTCAAAAAGTTGAAGTAGAGTATGTCCGGCCTGCAATGTTCACTGAAGTATATTCTAAAATAACTGTGGGTAATTCCCGTTGGAATGCTCTGGAGGCTCCTCAGTCAATCCTTTATCCTTGGGACACCAGCAGCACCTACATTAAGCATCCTCCTTTCCTTGAAAATATGGTAAATAAAAATAACAATGGTTAGCCCAGTTTTTATAACTTGATTACTATGCAGCTTAACCACAAAAATTTGTGTGGCTTATCATTAAATTTTTAATTTTTTAGACAGTAGATATTCCTCCTGTTCCTACTATTGAAGAAGCCTATCCACTCCTTAATCTAGGGGACAGTGTCACCACTGATCACATCAGTCCTGCTGGGAGCATTGCCAGGAATTCACCAGCTGCTAGATACCTGAGCAGCAAAGGGTAAGCTAGTGTTGTACGTGTATCATATAGCAGGAAGGATTTGGTGTTATTTTATTCTAATGAGCAAAGATAAACAATTAATGAGGCACCTTCTAATGCACCCCTCTACTGCCAGTTGCTCTATATCAATATGTCCTTCTATACAGCATTTCATTTTGAATCTTTTTGTTTGTCTTAGACTCACACCTCGCGAGTTCAACTCTTACGGCTCAAGAAGAGGGAATGATGATGTTATGGCCAGAGGCACTTTTGCTAACATTCGTCTCCTGAACAAGTTTATAGGCAAAGCTGGACCAAAGACTATACACTTACCATCAGAAGAACAAGTGATACTATGAAGCTTTACTTTGCTCTTTATCAAAATACACTGTAGATGGATGTGTTTGATGCTGCAATGAGATACAAGAAAGAAGGAAGGGACTTGATAATACTGGCTGGTAAGGACTATGGAAGTGGATCTTCAAGGGATTGGGCTGCTAAAGGACCTTGGATGCTGGTAAAAAAAACTATAATTATTGAGACGGGGGAAGGAGGAGCAAAAATATGGAGGGACAACTTAGCCATATTTGCTATATTTAGGGAGTAAAAGCTGTTATAGCAGAAAGCTATGAAAGGATACACAGGAGCAATCTGGTTGGAATGGGTGTCATACCACTGCAGTACTTGCCTGGAGAGACTGCTGATACTCTTGGTCTGACTGGTAAAGAGAAGTACAGCATTAAAGTGCCTGAAAATCTGATGCCCGGTCAAACTATTAATGTAGAAGTAAGTAAAGGAAGATAGAAATAGTATAAATACAAATTTTTTGTTATTTTCCATTTTGAAATTTTTATTTTATTGTAGGTTTCAAATGGTAAAGCTTTCAAAGTGAGGGTAAGGTTTGATACAGACGTGGAGCTGAATTACTTCAAGCATGGAGGGATATTACAGTTTATGGTCCACAAGCTATTGAAGTGATGCCTCTCTCTCTCAATTTTATTATTCAGTGATGACTTGTAGCATTATTATTATTATCATTGACATCATTATTTTTACAATAAGTACATGCTGGTATACAGTTGTCTGCTGTGAACTTGTTTGACTGTTACATGTATAGAACTATAGATTATGTTTAGTTTTTTCAATCATGATAATTAACAGGAAGAAATTCAAAGAATGCGATAGACAGAGAGAAAACTAGAAGAAAAATCAAATGAAAGTTCCTAAATTAAAGTTATCAAAAACAGCTAAGCATTACTCTCATGGACACTCTCATTATCACGTACACCATAGCTTTTAAAACTATGTGAATGCATTAACTCGTTAGATCTATTATTGACAGATTGATGAATGTCAGAATTACTGACCAGTGGCTGTCTCGCTTCATTATCTCTGTCTCTAACAGCACAGCGTCTCTTACAGCAGCAATAAACTTTTGAGAACCATTCCTTTAAAGTATCCCAGTTCCTCAGGTAAAAGAGGCGACAATAAACAATTGCAATCCATACAAGAGGAATCCACACTAGTATACCTTGAAGGATGAAAGCCCATTTAGATAGTGGAACATCTGCCAATGTATATGCATACTGATAGAGGCTTAGAGCTATCAGCAGTGAGAGAAGTAGCATTGAAGAAGCCTCTATGATATTGGGATCAATCTTTTTAGGGGTCACCCCATCTTCTTGCGTCCTCTTATACGGATGGAATAAGACAACAGCAATGGCGTAGGTTATACATATAATGAACTGGAGGAATAGCAAAATGAAAGCGTTCCAGGCAAAAATGAACGGGACGACTATCAGAAGACGAATGAGGAAGAGAACACTTGAAAACCACTGATAGTTACCGGGCTCAAATCGTGTGATGAAGTAAACATTAAAGTATCGTGTACACCTAAACTTACAATAGTAGAAGCATGTATTGGTACAGAGATGCCATGTCTGCAGTTTAATTTCTACTTTCATTTTATTTCTATTAATTGGTTCCTTGTATTTGCAGTCCCGGTTGGGTTTTATTTCTCTTTTAGTACGAAATTCATTTTGGAATTGACCCAAGAGATGATTTAGAAACCCTTGATTATTATCTGGGTCATTGGGTCTGTAGAAAAACAAGAAAATTGGAACTATCAGCAGGTATGTGAGCCCAAAAACACAAGCAAACAAAAAGTAAGGTAAGTGACGCTTGCCTAAAAATTCAACAGTTCCATCCAGGTATAAGACATGCTTGACATTGCCAGTCTCAGTTTCTGTTAGTGCAACGTATGTTAGTAAGTAGCTTGTTATAACTGCCACATTGGTGTAGGAGAGCATTATGGCTGTGGCCAAGAAGTTGCAGGGCCTTGTTCTTCCTGCTCTTATAAAATTTTTTAATATAATAACAATCTGTATTACAATTTGGTTTACAGAATGTGCCACATGTGCAGCACTTGCAGAAGGTACGAGAGCAGTAGTGAACTAATGCAGAGAGAAGGACTACGAACAAGGGGACTAGAGCAGCAACATAATTGATTGCAATAACTGTTACAAAATTTGAATTCCTTGAAAAACAATGTGTTTCTTGCAATGACCTTGCAAAGTACAAATTAAAGGAGTCATACAGTTCAGTGTATGCCCTTTGCAGCTTATCAGCTCCAGAACTATTATACAGTGAATTGAAGGCTATGATACCACCACCATCCAAAAGTACTATACTGGAGACTAGTTGACAAAGTAATATTGGGCCATGAAATAATCCAGATGTAAGTGGAACGTCAAAAATATAAACTGCAATGAGATAGACCAAAGGAAGGAGAACATCACATATGATAAATATACTAACACCAGCAGGATCAACTGTATGTGTACACTTAACACACTTGAATTTGTCATAACTAATAGCAGGGGCAAACGTATCATTACACTGATTGCACAGCACACCTCCACTATGGTTGCTACAATACTTCCTTTCAAATTCGTCCAGTGATTGATTGAGTGTAATGTGGACAGGAACCTGTTGTGTTTTACAACTTATACATTGACCATACACAGTCTTGTTGCTATAATTGCCTATCCAGTATCCTTGGAGGAGTTCAGCAGTAAATGTTTCATTATTACAACTAAAAATTCCTGCCTTGGTATATGGTGAACACGTACACTGCAAGTATGAATGTCTTGCAGTACGCTGCTTTAAAATAAGGCCTGGATGGCAATCCTCAAATACCACTTTAAGATCAAACTGTACAATATTTTGCTGAACAGCTTCAACATGTATTATACCTTTGACAGTTTTATTTGAAGTTGGATACACAAAGACCGTATCATCAGAAACGTAATAATAGTCATTGTGAATTGTAACGTTCTCATTCTGTGAATAAATGTGATAAATATACTCACTTACGTTTGAGTTTTGATCATTCAGTGGTTGAATTTCAAGCTTTGCTTCTTCACCAGGCCTTAATTTAATAACTCCATCAGATTTTTTTGGATCAAATGAAGCAATATCAGTTTGAATCTGACTCATGCATGCATTTTGAGATGTGTCAGAGTTATATTCCCAGACTGACTCCTCCTCTTCATTCCAGCAGAACACATTCATCAGTCTCTCATTAATGTCATAAGCATAGCCACTAAGAAGGGCACAGGGTTTAATTGTTGAAGCATAAATTGAGTTATTATGAAGATTAGCAGTATTATTCCTAAAATTAAAAGTGGTGGACCACTTACTAGGGACAACAGTCGCGTTACTATAGCGTATCAAACAGTCGAGTGATGTTTTTTCTAAACTAGTTCCGAATGATTCAGCATAAATTGCTCCTCCACGATTGCGAACTTTGTTGCCCTCAAACAAGAAACTAGTGTTGCGGCTGATTTCAATAAAAGCAGATGAATATAAGGCTATAGCTCCACCATTCACACCAGCATTATTAACAAACTCTGCAATGGTGTCTGGCATAAATGATACTTTTGATACAGAGACAACTAGAGCAGTTCCAAAACAATTATCCTGAAAAGTTACCCATTTGTTAAAAACAACTGGAACTGTGTCGACATACATTGCACCAGCTCCAATAACACTTCCACGATCAGTACTTTGAGAAATGAAAATCATATTTGAAATGAAGAAACAGTTTACAAAGACAACATCATGTATTGTTCCTTCACTGACTGTGTGAAAAATAGACAAATCTATAGCAGAGCCTAGCCTCCCTTTATTTCCTTCCCAAATACAATCAGATATTATTAACTGATTTAAATCATCAGCAGTGCCATTGGGTAATTGACGAGGAGTTAGGTAAAACATGCCCCCTCCTCTGGCATCAGCTGAGTTTTCTGTAAAATTTGTTTGGTTGATAATGAATTTGTTGTTCCTGGGGACCAAACCAGAAGTAAAGGGCGAAAAAAGATAAGCAAAGAGAGCTCCTCCTCCAGATTTGATAGCTCTATTGCTAGTAAAAACATTGAAACTTGACAGAGCTACTATATTATTGTAGACACTGTCCTGTACGCTGACATGAAGCCCACCTCCAAGAACAGCTGTATTATTAATCCACTGGCAGTGTATAATGTTAAAGATGTTATTGCTAGCAGTTCCTTTGAATACTATAGATAAGCCTCCACCATAACCAAAAGCGTCATAGTTTTTACCAAACGGAAGAACAAATCTTTGCTCTATTGACAAATTGTGAGCTTTATTATCCTCAAAGATAGTATCTGCTATACTGTAATGGGAATT